TAATAATAATAATAATATAATAATAATAATAATAACTAATAATAATAAAATAATAATAAATCATTCTATAACAATATGTTTAGATAATATCAAATTGTATCATAGAGTGAAGGTATTGTTATAGGTAAAGTGAATTGTAATTAAAGATTATAACCCAATGTAATATAATCAAAAATTATACTCCAAGTCCCTGATCGATGCATATATTTATAATCACCCAAAATAAACAAAATATGTATAATTGCTTCTAATGATCTAGACATTGTGCAATTAGTATATAAAGCCTAATTGAAAAAGAGATAAGATCATGGTGCCTAGGTTTCAAAGTAGCAGGAATGAAGTAGCCAGTTGGAAGATTTGTGTTAGAGAAAATGAAGAAATAGCATTATTAATAAAAAGACTCAAAAATAGACAACTAGAAGTAAAACTTACCTATGAGGCCCAAAGTGCTTAATTGAATCTTGTAAATGTGATGGAAAAATAATGAAGAGAAACTGGTAGTATTTTAAAAATAATGTAATTAGTTAGTAAAATGAAAAAGTATAAAAGCAAAACAAGTATAATAAAGAAAACTCATTTTTTGCAGCTTTTAAAGTAATTAGAAAGATTAAACATTCTTATATAAACAGTTGTAATAATTTTAAAAAATCTGTTAGAGTTGTTAAGCAAAAACTCAAATATCAGCTCAAATAAAACAAAAACTATACTTGTCAAATCTTGTTCACGCTTCTAGTAAAGTTGCCTTTTGCCCAACTTACATTTTTGCCATTTATAGTATCTAGAAACATTTTTTAATAATTATATATCCTGATTGGTTAATTGTCACAGAAAGTTATGATTAAATCTACAAAATTAACTAATTATATAAATGCTTTTCTAAAATAATAAAATTCATTTTACTAAGAGATTTTTTATTATATTGATATATTTTGGTTTTAAACCAAAATCTATTATAAGTTATATTGTGAGATTACTAATAATCTCTAATATATTAAAATAATTTTATTAGTAATAATTTTGTTTCATTAAAATTCTCTATATTAAGCAATATCTGTTATATTAATGGTCTGTTATATCAAGAAATACTGTGTACTAAGCTATTGACTATATCAAATTTGCTAAAAATATTCAACTTTGACCCAAAAGGTTTAGAATCTTATCTGAAGTAGTTAACTTTGATAAAGAAAAACAATATCTTACAATTAGCTCTAATAGCAAATTTAATATATATCTCAAATTTAATATCTCTAAAACACTTTTCTTACAAAAACTCAATATCTTATCTCTTAAAAATTCACTTGACTACTTTAAATAGTGATTTAAACAATTTTTTCTATTATATAATCACCAATTTATCAATTCTATAAATGAAACTAAGGTCTTTAATGCACTTAAATACCAATTCTGACAAAAATTCATTTTTTATCTCAAAGAAATTATGCCTATCAAACTTAGCTTCACAAAACCTAACAACTTACAGAAACATTGTAATGAAGCAATTAAATACACTAATCACCATATCCTTTTCTGTACAGATACTAACTGCATTTACTTAAAAGAAACAGAACAATTAAAAAAAGAAAAAGAAGTTAAGCCCAACAATTTTGAAGAACTGTCTTAATACTATGAACACTCTTCACAACTTTTTAATAGTATTTTTCAAAAATCTTATATTAACTTTCCTAAACAAAAAAATAAAATCTGGCAATAACTCAAACTTGACTCCTCTTTGTTTTATAAAAACAGAAAACATGAAGCATCTTTTGACAAACAAATTCCAACTATATTACTTAACAAACTTGCAAATGATGCAAAAAACTCTGTTTGTAAAACTAATAATGTTTAACTAACTTAAAATACTGCAACTACTATTTATATCTATATTAAAATTTTTATCAAAATATTACAGTCCAAAATCACAATATAGATAAGCTTAGTAAACAATAAGCAATTGACTTTCTTACAACTAAACCTATTAGCACTGAATTCCTTGCAAGAATTCTAAGCTTTTATCACTTTTGTGATAAAACACTTACCTATTCTCAAATCACAAACTACTTCTGAGAAACAGCCTATTTTAAGGCAAACAAAATTATACAAAAAAAATTCCAAATAAAATATGAAATATCATCTTTAATTACAGAGTCTTTTTTTATTGAAGAAACCCTTTTTCAATAAACTTGTTTTCTACAACCTTTATAAATGCAGCCATTACTTTATCAAAAGATACACCCTTAGTAGTTGATAAGGAAAATGATGTATGTAGTCAGGTAGTAAAGCCTATTTACATGAAAGGCCAAGATAATAACAGTTAGACCCAATATACAGGACAGACTATGATACCTTGCACAGCTGTAAGAGCTGAGCATATAGTAATTAACCCTGTAGAAGACAACTCTAAAAGATTATTTTCAATATCTTTAGCTCTTTATGATCTTGATACATGTTTTAACAAATTCCTTCTTTATTATAATATACCTCTTCTTTCTCACAATCAAACTATTCAAACACTTATACAGCATATTGTAAATACAATCACAACCAAAAAGTTACTAGTATTACATTCTCTGTTAATTCTATTTATAGTGAAACCCATATATACCTTTTTAATGACTTACTTCTTTCTAAACATATTATTATTCTCTCTTATCTTCTTCTTAAATTTTTTTTTGCTTTTGCTAAGACTGTAGTTATTGGCAGCTATTGCCTTTATTGTATTTTAATTATAATTACATAACT